CTCTCTCCACAGTTATTTTGCGAGACAGGACTCCAGTGACTCTCAAGGTGGTCCTAGTGGCATTAAGAAACAGAGAAGAGAAGCAACCACAGAAAAGCAAATGGTACCTGAGGTGTTGATGGAAGGGGATTTCCCTTCCAAACTATAAACAATCCACTCTCTCTCCTCCTCCAGTCTCCCATACACTAAGAAGAATCTCCAATAAAGGTAAGTGTTATGCTGTTAATGTTTCATTCATCATTTCCCATTGTATTGTTTATGTACTACATGTATATTTCATGTAAAAAAATTTTTTGTTTTAATACTTCTGGGTGTCAGGAACGGATTAATTGTATTTACATGATTTCTTATGGGGAAAATTGATTCGTAAATCGTAAATTTCGTTTATAGTAACAGCTCCAGGAACGGATTAATTACAAAAAAAGAGGGACAACTGTATAAAATGATAACATTACACTTACCTTGACTGAAGACTTCTGGGTGGATGGAAGATGGGAGGAGGGGATAGGAGGAAGGTGTACACTATTGTTTGGAAGGGGAATCCCCTTCCATAAAGACTTTAGGTACCAAGTTCTTATCTGGGGTTACTTCCCTTCTTTGTTTTTTAATGACACTGGGAACAACTTGAGAGTCGCTGGAATCCTGTCGCACAAAATATCTGTCCAGAGAGCTCTGTTTCTGGCATTTCTTTAAGATTTTTCTGAAGTGGGACACAACACTGTCATTGTACATGTTGCCAATTCGGCCTGCAACAGCTTTGTCAGGGTGAAGCTCATCCATAAATAACTGCACTTACAGTTCACTTTACTCAAATGTCCTTAATCTTTGAAGAAGGTACCTTCCTCCATCTCTCTTCCTCCTCCTCTGCAGCAATTTCCTGAGCTGTGGTCTGTTGGTGTTGCAGATGAAGCTCTTGCAGCTCTGCAGTGGTTAGCTCTTCATCATGATCCTCCACCAACTCTTCTACATCCTCGAAACTCACATCCAACCCCATGGAATTTCCCTGTGAAACAACACTTTTCACAACTGGCATAGGCTCCTTAGGGTCAGCCCCAAACCCTTCAAAATCTCTCTTGTTCACATTGTGGCCACAACTTTCTCCAAGCAGAATTCAAAGTTCTGCAAGTCACTCCCTCCCAGGCCTTACCTATAAGGTTTATGCAAGTGAGGATATTGAAGTGATCTTTCCAGAACTTTCTTAGGGTCAATTCAGTGTCTGAGGTCACTTCAAAACACTGCTTCGGTGTAGAGTTTTTTGAAATTTGAAATGACCTGCTGGTCTATGGGCTGAAGGAAAGTTGTTGTTTTAGGGGGCAAAAAATTCACCGTGATGAAAGTAAAGTCCTCCACCATTTGCTCTTCCAAGTCTGGAGGATGAGCAGGAGCATTGTCCATTACCAGGAGGCACCTGAATGGCAATTTATTTTCCAGGAAGTATTTCTTCACACTGGGGCCAAACACTTCATTAAACCAATCAAGGAAAATTTCCCTTGTGACCCATGCCTTACTGTTAGCCTTCCACATCACACACACATTACTCTTTGCAACACTGTTTTTCTTGAAAACACTGGCATTTTCAGAGTGATGCACCAGTAAAGGCTTCACTTTGCAATCCCCACTACCATTACTACAAAACATGAGAGTTAGCCTGTCTTTCATAGGCTTGTGTCCTGGGAGTGCAATTTCTTCCTGCATGATGTAGGTCCTCTTTGGCATTTTCTTCCAAAAGAGGCCTGTTTTGTCACAAATGAACACTTGTTGGGGGTTTGAGTTCTCCAGTGTCAATGTACTCCTCAAACTCCTTTACAAACTTCTCAGCCGCTTTTTTGTCAGAACTGGCAGCCTCACCATGCTTTACCACACTGTGTATGCCACTACGCTTCTTAAATCTCTCAAATCAATCTTTGCTGGCCTTAAAATCACAAGCGTCACCACTAGTTGTAGGCATTTTCTTTACGAGATCATCATGCAACTGCCTTGCCTTTTCACATATTATCGACTGCATAATACTATCTCCTGCTAACTGTTTTTGAGTAGTCCACACCGACAGTAACATTTCCATGACTCACAAAATCGTAATGACACGATTGCAAACAAACCATACCATGGGTGGGATTGAACCTGCGGTCAGAGAGTCTCAAAACTCCAGACCGTCGCATTAGCCACTGGACCAGCTAGCCACAATAAGATTTGTCCAACTAGGTATATTTCAACACCATAGGAAGGTTAGCATAGGCACCACTGTGACCACAAATGCAAGTTTTTACAGACGAATCTCCAGCTAGTGTGCCCGTGACGAACTCTAGCTCAAGTCTCCTCAATGCCGTCAACATGACGCACAAAATCGTAATGACAAGATTGCAAACAAACCATACCACAGGCGGGATTGAACCCACGGTCAGAGTCTCTCAAAACTCCAGACCATCGCGTTAGCCACTGGACCAGCTAGCCACAATAAGATTCGCCCAACTAGGTATATTTCTACAGCATAGGAAGGTTAGCATAGGCACCACTGTGACCACAAATGCAAGTTTTTACAGACGAATCTCCAGCTAGCGTGCCTGTGACGAACTCTAGCTGAAGTCCCCTCAATGCCGTCAACATGGCTCAAGAAATCATAATAATGTAGAAATATACCTAGTTGGACGAATCTTACTGTGGCTAGCTGGTCCAGTGGCTAACGCGACGGTCTGGAGTTTTGAGACACTCTGTCCGCGGGTTCAATCCCGCCCGTGGTATGGTTTGTTTCCAATCGTGTCATTACGATTTCGTGAGTCATGTTGACGGCATTGAGGGGACTTGAGCTAGAGTTCGTCACGGCCACGCTAGCTGGAGACTTGTCTGTAAAAACTTGCATTTGTGGTCACAGTGGTGCCTATGCTAACCTTCCTATGGTGTAGAAATATATCTAGTTGGACGAATCTTATTGTGGCTAGCTGGTCCAGTGGCTAACGCGACGGTCTGGAGTTTTGAGACTCTCTGACCACGGGTTCAATCCCGCCCGTGGTATGGTTTAGTAACATTTCCACTTCTTCGAGGGTTTGCAATCTCTTTTTTGTCAGCATATCTACCCCGTTTGCAACAACAGCACACTTTATTTCCTTTCCCTTCGCCATGATCGAAGTGATGGTTGAATGGGGTTTGCCATACATCCTAGCAAGTTCTGTAACACGCGCTCCGCTCTCATACTTTTCAATGATTTCCTTCTTGAATTCGATCATGTTCCTCACTTTCTTTACCAAAGGGCTGGCATTAGCTTTCCTTGGGCCCATGGTGACTTATTTAGCAGTTGCAAGCACAAAAAACAGTGGATTATTATGAAATGTATTGTATGAACCTGCTGGGTGATGGTCATGCGCTGGTGAACAATGGCATAAGTGTGAATGGTGTGGGAGACTGGCTTTGTGTGCACGTTGACGGGCGGACGCGTACCGGACGGTCGCCGAATCACGAGTCCAATCACGAACCGCGAAGTTAAATTTTGGCGAAAAACTTGCCGAAAGTCGTATTTCACGAAAGTCACGGCCGACGAAACGCAGGGGTCCACTGTATATTATTGAGTCTAGTGGTAGTTATGTATATAGGTGCTCCTATGGAGATGAAACTTAATTACCCAGCATAAAAATGGCAAGTCAATTTTTACTTCTCAATACTGGTACAGTATTTAGTTACAGCAATTAGTATTTGTTTATATACTTATTCAGCGACAGCAGTTATTTGTTTACGTATTTATTTAGTATATCATATTCACATTCGACTTAAGATATTTTAGGAGGAGCACCTGTATATATAATGCCTTAATCATAACATCCTCAAATATACTGTGAGAGTTAACTTCTGGTATAGACATGAGAGAATGTGTTTGTGCAGTGGGTGTGCACAGGTAAAAAAATTTTTTTCGTGAGCAGTGCTTGATGGGAACATCTAACCTTTCACCTTGTTTTTGGGGTTAAAATAGTGACTTTGAGGCATGTTGTAGGGTGCTTTTCATGCTTTTATTAGCCATTTCTAAGTGTCAATTGATAGACTGCAAGATATACAGCACTGATGAAATGGAGATGATTTTGGTTAGTTTCAGACTGGAGGTAGCCTGAAATAGTCCTGAAGGTGGTGGAAATATTAAATTTTTAGCAATTTTCCTGAGTAAGGGTAGGGGCCCCTTACCATCCCCTTCTTGGTCTGTTTTGTGGGTTTATATTAGGTTTGCTTCAATTATTGGGATGGCTTAAACCATGACCAGTCATTCTTGGTTATATTAGCTGAGAAATAAGGTACAATAAAGATTTTTTTTTGTGTGTGATGATGGATTCACAATGGAGGGCAAATGTTATATAGAAGACTGAGGAGGATTAATGAATAGAAGAAAGGTTGCTGTAGTGGCTAGAATGTATACACTGTTTATTTTGGACTGTTTTTAAATTGATATACATGTCGGTCATCACTAATCCTGCATCATTGGGACTTGTAGTGTGCCGGATTAGCGAGTTTGCCGGATTACAGAGTGGTTAGGTTAGAATACAATTATCCTATCAAGAGAGAGACTTTCTGATACATCTTCCTCATTTTCATCACTGCTTTCTCCTCCACTGGCTTGCTGCTGTGGATTTACAACCATCTGCACAATTTCTGAATCAGTATAATGATGAAATTTGAGTCACTACAATTATTTGAGCCAGTATAATGATGAAATTTGAAATTATGCTAGCCGAAATTAGTGCCAGATTACTGATGGAACCGGATAACTGACTGCCGGATTAGTGATGGCCGACCTGTACCATCAAAAGCTAAATATGTTTGGCTTTACTGAAATTGGTAATTTGGACAAAAATCTGCAGTTTGGATATATATTTCTGTACACAACTTACAGTAGGTAAATTTTTTGATGAAGAGTAGGCTCTTTGTTGTGAAAGCATATTAAACATTTGAAGTTTTTCAACTAGTTACTAACAGAAGCATTTAAATTAACTGACATTAATATTCGAATTTCTTGTCTTGAACAGCTTTTAGGCAAGATAACCAATTATGTGTGGGATGGGCAAACTCCTGCAGTCACCATTCAGTACTCAACACGACGAGAGGCAGAGAAGGCCATGAGTGAGGGGCGGACTCTAGGAGATCGTCTTCTCACCCTCACCTGGGTCTTTGATGTGGCTCTTCCACTCTCCTCACAGTCAACAGCAACAAGCATGGCTGGAACTCATCATGTATCAACACATTCTTATACTAGTGTTGTGCCTCACACCACGACTCCATTGCTCTCCCCGGATGAAACTCTAGTGAGTGAAGTTCCCCCATTCAGGGACACTTTCCATAATCAGTCTAAAAAAATCTTCCCATATTTCATAATTTTTAACCCTTTGAGGGTCCAGACCTCCACTCTGAAAATTCTCCACAGGGTCCAAGAATTTTCAAAAAAAATTTATTATTTTTTCTTGTGAAATAGTAGAGAATCTTTTTCTGAAGGTAATAAAACAAAAAGTATGAAATGTGATCAAAAATTGATGAAATTACGCTCTTGAATTTTGCTGTGATAGCGATATTTATGCATTGGCGATTTTGTCCACTTTGAGTCCTATTTTCAGCCAATTACATTGTTCCATTAGACCAAATTCTTAGCTATTTCACTAGTATGTTTTCCATTTTATCTATTGAGCACAAGCAGTCGCACAATCAATTATTTCAACTACCCAATAAAGTGATCAGAAATTGGTAATAAGGTCAGTTTCACACAAAGTTCAAAATAGGGTCCAGAATAAACAATATAGACCTTCCTGGCATTAAAATAACATTTTCTCTGTTTCCAGGGTTTACACATGAATTCCATTTTTATTTTTTATTCACAAAGAATTTTTATTCACCAAAAAATAGATTTACTGTTAGGCAATATTGTAATAAGTGTACAAATAATTTCAGTGCATTCATGAATGCACATCAGGCCCACCAGCTGACGTGTATTGGATGCGTGATGTGATTTATTCACTCTTGAACATCTACAAAAATCGAACATTTCCTCTACATTGAGCTCAATTTCAGGCTATTTTCAGTACTAAAACCAATCAAAATCATCTCTATTCTTGTAATATATTTTCCATCAAATGAGACTAAGAAACCGCGAATACAATTGTGAAAAACATACAAAAATACACCGCATAGTACTTTTTTTAATCCAAAAACACTGTCACAGTAATTTTTTTCTCATGCACTGCATGCTACAGGATTTGTTTTTGTATGGTGCACACTTGCCACATACATACATTCTCTCTAGGCCCAAATTTACCACTCACAGCTTATCTGAGTGAACTGAGCTCATGACGTAGTACCCTGGCTTCAAAGCCATAGAACTACGGGATGGACCCTCAAAGGGCTAATGTAATTGAGTTTCATTGTTATTGTGGTAAATCATGCTTAATAGATCTATCTACTGTTATAATAATGGGGGGTTACGTTGAAGTTGAAGGACTCTTAATCTAAGGAATTGGAGATACCTTTTTCTTAGATCAAACCTCATTGTCTCCAATTTCTCCCATTTGACAGACACTATGACATAGTCGTACCTTGGATTTATGACTTAATGGGTTCCCTAAACCAAGTTGCATTAAAAAATCTTAAGTCTAGATTTTCAGCTTTAAAACCCCTTTTATGCTGCACTTGTTGATTTTATTATAAAATCAATAAAGATATCCAATAAGTGTTAAATGGTTAAAGTATTGCATCTAAAGTATTAAAAATAGATAAAGAAATATTTTATCATGTACTGTTGCATGTTAAGACTCCAGCTACCAAAGTATTATTTACACACTTTATAAAGAATTAAATTTAAAATTTGATCAAAATTAAGAACATTATATTAACTGCCTGTTTGGCATCTTGGCATTTTGAGTACAAGTTGGTAGTAATATTACTGCAGGAACGTGGCACATGAGCTAGCTAAGGGATCACTAAGAATCATTGTTGTTCTGGAGCATTGGCAGATTTCTAAAATGGATCACAAGTTAAAAACTTTAAGGTCAAAGTACAATTGTATGTACAATATATTGTAATTATGTATCATCCACAGTGCTATATTGTTAATATTTTCCTTTCCAGGAGGAGATTACTGAAGAAATTGTGGAAGAAGTTGAGACAGAAGATGGAGTGCAACCAGTTTTATTTGAAGAGGAAGAAGAGGAAGTAGAAGAAGATGAGGAAGAAGTAAGATCCTGGAGGAGGTAGACATGACATTTGAGGTGAAAAAATAAAAACGTGGATTTCAGTTTAAATGTGTGAAGCAAGACAGTGATAAGCAGGAATTGGGCTATGCAAGAGAAGGATATATAAAGCAAGCAAAAATGCCAAGTAGTATGGATATTGAATTTTATGAAGAATTTTGTCATAATTATAATATAAAAAATCTAAATATTTAATTTGTTTTTAATATATACTGATGAACGCGAGGAATCTGATTCAAATGAGCTTATTTTACATCCATTACCCATCATCACTCATCACAATCTTGACATGCCTGATGGTTCTTCTTAGTACTGATTCATGAGTACACATGTATAATGAAGCTGTTCACCCTTCTAATAACATGACTTGGCTGTGCAATTTCCAACATTGCCAAATGTATCAATGTTTTTTGTATAAATTGAGACATGAATCACAACTTTTAATGGTACCTCTTACTAAAGCTTAAAATTTAAGCTGCATTTCTTGGCATGTAAAATAGGTATCAAGTTTTTGAAAAAAAAAAAAAAAAAAAGATAAGAGATCTGTAATCTGTGAAAAGATCACAGAGTTTGGGCAGAGTTAGTACCAGACTTATTGTTCTAAGTATTTCAACAATCATTTAGGCATGGGTAAAATGTGTTATTGCACACTATAAATAGGCTAAATTACATTTTCTCTGAAGTGGCATCTAGGTATCAACTACAGTCGTTATATAACTGTACATGGAACTATAATTTGTTAAAATGATAAATAAGAGTGCAGGACATCATAGGCAAAAGTCAATGTAAAAATCTTCCTTGATAAACATCATTGATATGGAGAGTTGTGTGTGGTAACTTGAAATTTATGATGAATATGATAATGTAGAAGCCTGAGTTTAGGCTTCCCTGTAGACCACCTGGTCCACTAGGATGTTGGTCCTAGCTGTCTTCAGGCCTACATTATTATTATTACAATCATAACTAAGTGCTAAACCCACTAGGGTCATACAGCACTGCCTCAGGCCCACAGTCATGATAACCCAGCTGATCAAGTACTTCTGGAAACTATTGTCAGTTGTCCTCTTCAACTCTTCTGCCATTATTCTGGCTCAACACTTGTAGCAGCATATTTTTTGCAGTTGCATCTAGCCAAATGAAAACTTCATCAGAGAAAAGGTAACTTTATTTGTTACTCTAAATATTCCTTATTGATATAGTTATAGGCTAGCACCTTCATGCAAGAGAAGATAGCAACACTAGGTTCAATTACTAACAGTCTTAGTGAGCCAGATGATAATGTTAATACTGTCAGATTCTATACACCAAACAAGACTTAGGCAACCACTGACATAGGTCATATTTTGGTCCAATCCCAGCATGTTTTTTTATCTGGATTGCATGGTGGTATAGTAAGCTCATGACGTTAAATACTCCCACATAATATTTAAAGTGGTAGGAGGCTAGATCAGGTAGGCCTGATCTAGCCTGTAGGGCAAAGGTTCTGCATACCTGTTCTAACTAACATCTTAAGGCTTGTGATGTCAGTGTTACTCCTTAGGTGAATCACCTCTTAAACTTTAAGGTTCAAGGGAAACTTAAGTATATTATATAGTCAAACCTCATAATTCACATATTTTATAATCCACATGATTCATTTATGCAGCTTTATCCAAGATCATTCAACGGATTTCTTTGATTTTCAACATTTTTCTTGGTGCCTATTGTCTTCTGCTTGGTGTATGACACTTAACAAAGAAAATAGGATTTCTTTCAAAATGTTCTTATTCTTTGTTATGAATTTCAACATTGGGCATATTAGAAAGTTGTTAAAAGATATTTGGTAAAATGAATATTTCAGTAATTAAGATATGCAAAATTTTCTATTATCCACAACTTAAAAATTTGTGTTATTTCCAGGAATCTAACTCCTGTGAATTACTAGATTCATCTGTATGATAAATGTAAGGTACAATTCTACACTTAGAGCACGATGCAGACGTCGCTTGCATCATCTTTATAGAAACATAGTGTTTGATATTGAGAGTTATAAGTGTCTAATCATGTTCCTAGGTTCAAATTTGGATTACTCGTATTTCATGATATAGATTTAGTGAATGATTTCCAACTGATTTTTTGCAGTTATAGCCATGTGATAGGGTGCTCCTAGCACATGGCGATAAATGTCTGGATTACGATTCGCTGCTCTTCACATATACATATGTATGTTCTTTCTCTTTGGCCTAATCTGCTAAATCATAAGATTAAAAAGTAAGTGGAGTGTTTTTGATTAACAAAAGATTCAGGTTACATTTATTATATTATGAATCCCTTTTTATATATTTGTTTTATTTAGTGCATTTTTGAAAATAATACATATAATATTTAATCTTGAAATTATATTATTTATGAATGTAACAGGTGCATTTTATACAAATTACATAGTGGTTTAAAAAATTTCTGGCCTCCTGGGACTTTACTGTTAGTATTGTTGACCTGTTAATGATGTCAGTAACTAATACCAAGTACAATACAAAAAATGCCAAATGTAGTAAAATTATTACAGTCTCTCCTCACTTAACAATGTACTTGTTTAATTAATGACCACTCAGACTTATGACCAGCTCTCTGACCAGTATTCATACCTAAGTAATATATTTTTTTTATTATTTTTATTATCACACTGGCCGATTCCCACCAAGGCAGGGTGGCCCGAAAAAGAAAAACTTTCACCATCATTCACTCCATCACTGTCTTGCCAGATGGGTGCTTTACACTACAGTTTTTAAACTGCAACATTAACACCCCTCCTTCAGAGTGCAGGCACTGTACTTCCCATCTTCAGGACTCAAGTCCGGCCTGCCGGTTTCCCTGAACCCCTTCATAAATGTTACTTTGCTCACACTCCAACAGCACGTCAAGTATTAAAAACCATTTGTCTCCATTCACTCCTATCAAACACGCTCACGCATGCCTGCTGGAAGTCCAAGCCCCTAGCACACAAAAGCTCCTTTACCCTCCTCCCTCCAACCTTTCCTAGGCCGACCCCTACCCTGCCTTCCTTCCACTACAGACTGATACACTCTTGAAGTCACTCTGTTTCGCTCCATTCTCTCTACATGTCTGAACCACCTCAACAACCCTTCCTCAGCCCTCTGGACAACAGTTTTGGTAATCCCGCACCTCCTCCTAACTTCCAAACTACGAATTCTCTGCATTATATTCACACCATACATTGCCCTCAGACATGACATCTCCACTGCCTCCAGCCTTCTCCTCGCTGCAACATTCATCACCCATGCTTCACACCCATATAAGAGCGTTGGTAAAACTATACTCTCATACATTCTCCTCTTTGCCTCCAAGGACAAAGTTCTTTGTCTCCACAGACTCCTAAGTGCACCACTCACCCTTTTCCTCTCATCAATTCTATGATTCACCTCATCTTTCATAGACCCATCCGCTGACACGTCCACTCCCAAATATCTGAATACATTCACCTCCTCCATACTCTCTCCCTCCAATCTGATATCCAATCTTTCATCACCTAATATTTTTGTTATCCTCATAACCTTACTCTTTCCTGTATTCACTTTTAATTTTTTTCTTTTGCACACCCTACCAAATTCATCCACCAATCTCTGCAACTTCTCTTCAGAATCTCCCAAGAGCACAGTGTCATCAGCAAAGAGCAACTGTGACTGCTCCCACTTTGTGTGATTCTTTATCTTTTAACTCCATGCCTCTTGCCAAGACCCTCACATTTACTTCTCCTACAACCCCATCTATAAATATATTAAACAACCACGGTGACATCACACATCCTTGTCTAAGGCCTACTTTTACTGGGAAATAATTTCCCTCTTTCCTACATACTCTAACTTGAGCCTCGCTATCCTCATAAAAACTCTTCACTGCTTTCAGTAACCTACCTCCTACACCATACACCTGTAACATCTACCACATTGCCCCCTTATCCACCCTGTCATATGCCTTTTCCAAATCCATAAATGCCACAAAGACCTCTTTAGCCTTATCTAAATGCTGTTCACTTATATGTTTCACTGTAAACACCTGGTCCACACACCCCCTACCTTTCCTAAAGCCTCCTTGTTCATCTGCTATCCTATTCTCCGTCTTACTCTTAATTCTTTCAATAATAACTCTACCATACGCTTTACCAGGTATACTCAACAGACTTATCCCCCTATAATTTTTGCACTCTCTTTTGTCCCCTTTGCCTTTATACAAAGGAACTATGCATGCTCTCTGCCAATCCCTAGGTACCTTACCCTCTTCCATACATTTATTAAATAATTGCACCAACCACTCCAAAACTATATCCCCACCTGATTTTAACATTTCTATCTTTATCCCATCAATCCCAGCTGCCTTACCCCCTTTCATTTTACCTACTGCCTCACGAACTTTCCCCACACTCACAACTGGCTCTTCCTCACTCCTACAAGATGTTATTCCTCCTTGCCCTATACACGAAATCACAGCTTCCCTATCTTCCTCAACATTTAACAATTCCTCAAAATATTCCCTCCATCTTCCCAATACCTCTAACTCTCCATTTAATAACTCTCCTCTCCTATTTTTAACTGACAAATCCATTTGTTCTCTAGGCTTCCTTAACTTGTTAATCTCACTCCAAAACTTTTTCTTATTTTCAACAAAATTTGTTGATAACATCTCACCCACTCTCTCATTTGCTCTCTTTTTACATTGCTTTACCACTCTCTTAACCTCTCTCTTTTTCTCCATATACTCTTCCCTCCTTGCATCACTTCTACTTTGTAAAAACTTCTCATATGCTAACTTTTTCTCCCTTACTACTCTCTTTACATCATCATTCCACCAATCGCTCCTCTTCCCTCCCGCACCCACTTTCCTGTAATATTTATAATATATATTAGAACTAATTTCCTCTTATTCTTTTTATTACATTATACAGTACACTACTGTATAAACATTTAAAAATATACTAAAAATATTACAAATGGTGCAAAGGTGATATTAAAATATCTAAAGGTGGTCGACACAGACCCACTACCATTAAAGTGTGCTCCTTGCTTAACGACCAATTCGTTTACCGACCTACTCTTAGGAACAGAACTCTGTCTTTAAGTGAGGAGAGAGTGTAGTTATTGGAATCCATTTGTTTTCTCTTTTGCTTTCATGTGTTCTCTCTTCTTTTTGCCCCCATGAGTAAATAGGGGTAATTAAATCATGGATATCACAAGATGGTGCAGTCTAAACAATATTACATAGTGGTATTGGCTGATAAAATAATTTTTTTTACTTTCTACTCAGCTGAACCTTCATGTTTGTGCCATGAATATTACATACATCTTACTGACATGGTAGCTCTAGGACAAAGGCATCCAGAAAAATGGTAAACCACTGTATCAATAGTTTTATAATCTTTCACATTAAATACTAATACTGTATTCTGTATCCATCATGTATTTTTTCTTATCTTTAGATCTGAAAAGATGCATCACCTATTTGTTTGGCTGGTAGCTTTAACTTTAAAATTTAAAAGACTTTTAAAATTTTTTTATTTAGATTATTTTCTTTGATTACTATATAGCTACTCAAGTATAGGTATTTGTTTTTGGACCAACTTATTCCTGAGTAATATTTTGGAGGGGTGAAAATCTATACATGTTGTGTACTTATTCTTGTGACCTATAATATAACAATGACTGGTGTTACGAGTTTCTATTCTCATAGTCCAGCCTGGGGCCTAGGTTTTTCTGTTGATTACCTTTTCATCCAGGCTGTTGCTGTTGGCAGTGCACTGGCTAACATAGTCATTACAGTCTGGTCAGTGTAGTAATTTACAGAGGTGCCAGTTCCATTAATTGTTGAAGACTTCTTCACTTTTTCCTAATGTAATAATGATAGAATTACCAACAGTGTTAGGTAAAAGGACACATGATACCTGCTAGTAGCAGGTCGACACAGTGCCCTTGCTTTTCACTGGGTCTGTTTTACAATTCCTTCCATATATCTCGCCCAAGTAGTACATAGTTATGGTAGTGTGTACATTTGGGATTAGGCTGTCCACTATATTCTTTGTATACATTATGAGATATCTCTCTTTTTGGCTCCAGAGAATACATTCCAAATTCTTTGAGGCATTCCCTTTAGTTTAGTTTAAATGCTGTACTGGTTCTATTGAGACAGTAAATGATCTTTGTGCACTTCACCATATTGATATCTCTTCTGCCTTAAATTTCAGCCATCAACCCTGAACAATATTTTAAATGATAGAGCACAAGTGATTTGAACAGTATTATCAGTGACATTATTTCCCTTGTTTTGACATTTCTTGTTATCCACTGTCATTTTGTGGCCTTTGTAAACTTCTTATGTTTTGTAAATGATAAGTTGTCTGACATCATTATTCTCAAATCTTGTACATATTCTTTTCATTCTGTGAGATAGTCCTGTGTTTTACATCCAATGCTCCTTTTGAGTTCCACATTCTTTCCATATCTGAGCAGTTAGAATATGTCACCATTGAACATCGTGTTTTTTCCCATTACCCATAGGAAGACTTTGAAGAATAAGACATATATGCAGCACCTAGGTATCTTTATTGCTCAGATGTTTTGCCTGCACAACAGGTTTCTTCAGTAGAATGCAGGTGAATAAAATTTGACAGTGTTACATTTGCCTGTATCCAGGTGAAGAAGCCTGTTTCGGCAAAAAAGATACTAAAGTGTTTCACGTGTCTTATCTTGAACTTGTAGGTATTTTATGCTATCATTGACTAGAAGTCCATGTCTTCTACTGAGGCAATGTAATGCTTATTTTAGTATCATCTGCAAAGGAGGAGGATGATGTGAGGATGAGAAACAATACTGTGTCTTTGGGTACTAAATTTTTCCTTTGATCAGGCAAGAATTTGATTTGTTGACTATTATTTGTGTTCTATTAGATATTGAATATTCATTTTCCTATTTTTCCTGTTACACCTATTGATTTTATTGTATGGGCTATCACTCCATGATTGCATTTAGCAAATGCCTTAATGAAATACGTGTAGACAACATCTTCATTTTGTTTTTCTTCCAAAACATTCGTAATTTTGTCATTCTCCAACTGTTGATGTTATATTTATTGAAAAAACCTTCTTGCTGGCTATTTCTTTGGTTCTCTATGCATAGAATTATACTTGTCTGTACTTCATTGAGGTTGTCTTCATATTGTAGTGTATTTCAGATTACATCTTTGATTAATTCCTCAGTGTGTGTGAAAGATCAAGTCTGGTGTATTTGCATTTCTATTAGGCTCTGTTATCTGTTCATTCAAAAAGCTTTTCACAACCCCAATATCTCTGGTATCTGTCTGTTGGGCTAATGTGCTTCCAGGGAATATTTCTGGTCCAATGCTGTCATCTTCCATGTAATATTTGGATAGTTGAAATTTCCGAGAAAAATAATATTGGTGTAGAATTTTTCAAGGATTTCAAGGCAGCTAGTTTATCTTCATTTGTTCTGTGAATTCTTCTGCCTACTGTGTACTTCATAATGGACTCCTGTACTTCTGTGCATCCTGGGCAGAACCAATATTTAGTACACACATTCACTTTAACCCTTTCAGGATTTCAGTCGTACTAGTACGGCTTACGCCCCAGAGTTTTTGACGTACTAGTACGCCTAAATTCTAGCGTCCTCAAATCTAGTGAGAGAAAGCTGGTAGGCCTACATATGAAAGAATGGGTCTATGTGGTCAGTGTACGCATTATAAAAAAAATCCTGCAGCACACAGTGCGTAATGAGAAAAAAGACTTTGACCGCGTTTTTGGATTAAAACAGCGACTTTGCACTGTATTTTTGTATGGTATTTATTGTTGTATTCTAGTTTTCCTGGTCTCATTTTATAGAATTGAAGACATATTACAGAAATTGAGATGATTTTGACTGGTTTTACAATGAAAAGTACCTTGAAATTGAGCTCAAAGTAGCAGAAATGTTTGATTTTTTCCAAAGTTCAAAAGAAAACAAATCATGCCAAGCGTTCAATACACGTCAACTGGTGAGTCTAATATTCTTTCACAAGTGCGCAGATATTATTTATACCGTTTCTACACTAATGCAGTAGTCTGCATAACAGTAAATCTTCTATATTTTGTAAGAATAAAACTTCAAAGTGGAAAGCCAAAGAAATATAAGAGGGGCCTGGGGATGTGACTAACGAACAGAGAACTTGTTATTTTGGTGCCAGGAATGTCTTTCTTGTTTATTCTGGACCCTATTTGGAAAATGGCATCTTTTGAAATTTGTGTGAAATTGGCAAAATTGCTAAATTCTGACCACTTCATTGGATAGTTAAAATTGGTAAATGGGTGGTTTCTTGTACTCATTCGATAGAAAAAATGGAGTTCTAGCAAAATAGTTATGATTTTTGTCGACTAGTACACTGGAATTGGCCAAAACTAGGGTTCAAAGTGGGCAAAATCGCCGATGCGTAAACATTGTCAAGACTGCTAAATTCACGAGAGTATAATTCCGTAAGTTTTCCATCAAATTTCATACTTTTGGTGCCATTATGATCAGGAAAAGATTCTCTATCTTTTCATAAGAAGATTTTTTTTTTTTTTTTTTTTTTTTTTTTGAAATTTGGGGGACCTTGAGAACAAGTCTCTGAGAGGGCCTGTGGACCCTGAAAGGGTTAAATATGCCAAAATAGTCTCGTGCTGATTTGTTGTAATTGTAGTGGTACGCTTCATCTTCTCTTTACTGTCACATTTAGTGTATTTTATTAAGTATCTTCATAGTACATATATGCATTTTAATTTTAATAATGTGAAGTATTCCAGAGTAATAACCAGTATGGCATAACTTATATATATTTGTACTGACTATTAAAACCACAGGTTGACTTGTACAAAATATGTATAGAATTTTTTTTCTTTATTAAAGGGAAGTTTGGTCTATACACGAAATGAACCTATACTTGAGTATATACACCATGTATTGTGTAAGATTATAACATGTGATGTGTATACATTATTATCAAATATTTGCCAGCCTGAATTTATAAAGCAAATGTTAACCAGCAATAAATAATAGCAATATGAATTTATCTCAAGTAAATCGTAATTTATACGTGGAAGAACAATTTTGGCTTTTAATATAATTTTTGATTACACCATTAATTTATATATTTTACTGGCTATTAGTCATTATTTATGAATTTTTACTGTTGGTCAAGAATTGTGTGTGATGAAATTCTTCCATTCTGTGAATTAGTGTGGGACATTTTCTTGCCACTGTGCAATGTAAACCAGAAATTAGACTGCAGAGTGAACAAGAACAGCACCACCTAGACAGTGTCAATAAGTACACTACAGGTAGACATGGGAGGTGCTGAGGTTACAGGAGTTGATTGTGTGGTAATAGTGACTTGCTAAGCCAGCACTAATATGTAGCCACCTGGAGTTGTAAGCCAAGGAAACTTAACTGATTGAACTTATACAATGAACAATGAATTAGAGAGTCATTGTTAAATTAGAGTAGTGAGGAGGTAGTGCATGGTTTCACAAAAGATTGACTTTGTATATATATATTAACTTTAAGAGTTAATGTTTAAATGATGTTAGGATAGTCATCCTGAATTTAATTAAAACCTCTTGGATATCTGAAAATACTGAAATATGACATTTTTGCTTATCGGTGGTTGGGTTTTTAAATTAGTGTCAGTTATATGCTGATATCTAAATTATTTTTAGTTGGTGATGAAGTTCTGCAGATTAAACTGGGCATTTGGATTTAATCCATTAGATAGTATTATTCAGTACATCATTGAATTTCATATTTCAGCTACAGAGCCTAGCTCTTAAATTTAAAATACACAGAATTTACATATTCATATTTCATTTTCACTAATGAAAAGTAGTATTTGTTTCAAAAATAAGATAAGAATTACATCTTAAGGTTCTTTCATATTTGTAAAGTAACTTAAGTAACAGCTAGAAATTGTTTATAATTGTGCTCTTGCAAATGTACTATTAACGTATCAATTTACTTAACTGGTCAGCCAAGTGGAATGGTATAGCCATTACTTTAAAAGAAAATGTGGATGTAATTAATCACTAAAGTAAAGTAACTAAATGAGCTGTTAATTCCACTTGTGCACATTCTTGGTGGTGAATTTTATAGTATTAGAGAACCATTACTCTTGATGCGTGTTTATAAATGTGTATGTTCTCTTGCAGTGTTTATGCTACTTGTTTCTCCTTAAATTGGTTAATATTTTGAAGTTATGGCAGGGTTAATAAAATTTTTATGGATTAAGTGAGCAAATGAGGTTTCTTAATTGGTAGACTCCAAGTGATGCTTCCTGGGAGAGTACACAAGTAACCTGATCACTGGTGTGCTCTCCTGGGGCACTGGAGTTGAACTCTGCAACTGCTTACTTAGCAGTCATGTAGTTAACTCCTGACAAGTGGTGGGTAGGGTGAAAATTCTAACTGCTGTGCACAGTACTCTAAAATATCAGATTATTGGTTTCTGTACAAGGGGATTGTCAGTGTACATGCATAAAAAATTAGGTCATGGGTAATGTGTTGATGTGTATAGGCAGCAGCCTTCTAGAGGAACCATTTAATAGTTTTCAACTTGTACTCCTTGCTGTGAGGGTGTTAAGGCTGACACAACCTTAATACATGTAATGTTGAAAAAGTTTATGAAATTTTGTATGAGATTGTATACAAAGTGGTGATGGTGGGGGAGGCACTCATATTATCATAGTATAATTTATTTGCTCTAATTCCTTCATACGCACTGTATTGTATGTTGTCTTAATAATTAGTAACAGTTTTTTTGTTTTGATATGTCAGTATTCAAATTATGCTTATTTTTTAAATCACCACTAATGTTAATATGGATTTAGATAGAAATGTTGAGCTAGTCTATGCTGTAAGATAGTGAGTGTGAGGGTGAAAATGAAGGGTATGAATGCTGGAGAGTGAGAGTGAAAGTAAGAGAAAACAAGATGGAGAGAGAGTGAAAGTGAGAGTGAGAGTAAGAGTGAGAGATAGTGAGAGAGCCAGAACCAGTGAAAGTGAGTGAGTTATTGTCTTTCAGTGTTGCAGGGTGCCATTTGTGTGTTATTGATTTACATGATATTGCTGCTTTAATATTGGAGTACTGCACATTAGTTTGTCTTAGATATATTTACAGTAGGTTGTTTATAAAGTTATATGGAAAGTGTATTACCTTCTGAGGAGTCAATAATGGAAAAGATATTGATGTACAAGATAGGAAAGTCTGAATACACAGGTTATAGTACAAGGACATTGTTCTCTTAAAATACTGTGTATATCAAATATAGTTTCTGAAGTGATGTCACTGTGATGAGTGACAGGGTATGGATTTGAAGACAGTAATTTTTTCCTTTGCATCAATTTTGTGATTCACGTTGAATGAATTGGTGAATACAAGACCCGATATATATAATTCGGTGTACATTAAGATTTACATTAATATGGAGGAGAAAATAATAAGGTTTTCAAGAGTTTATTGCAAGTGTTGCTAATGGCCATCTTTGGACACTGACTGATACACTGGCTACAACATCAGCCGAAGCACACGATTGTCCATTATTTTCCAGTATTTTTATGTTTGTTTTTGTGTGATGTGTTTTGTTTTGACATGGTTTGTGTGCAGTTTAGTGTTACTTGTTGTATGAAGTAGTGTTTATATCTAAAAGAAAATTTATTATTTGTCATGGTTCTCACGATCTGATACAGTGTCAGTTGTGTGATGGTCCACTTCGTGACTCTTGTGTCACTTGTCTCAATATGGACCACAAAATTTTTAGGTTTAAGGTCTAGGTCTTAGGAGTACCTATATTGTAAAGAGAGTTGAATCAGCCTTGCTCTAAATATTTTTCACAGGTTTTTTCTTCACTGTGGCCCAGGAAGTATTTTTTCTGCAGACATGTGCAGATATATATACATACAGATATCTGTATATATATTTATGTATGTATGTTCACATACATTTATATATACGTATTGTTTTTAGTGTGTACACCTGTGTGCATATGGGCCTGTGTTAGTTGAATATAAATTCTTCAATTAATCCATGATTAAGACTTGAATTTCTCATTATGGTAACTTCATTAAAGCTCGACAGTCATTGCTTTATAAGATTTGATGTGCATATTGCTCATTCACTCACTCGAGTCATAAAGTTAAAGATGTATTTGAATTATACACAATGTGAATTTATTTTTTCTTAGTTATTATATATTACTGTAGTGAGTTTAAGCTCTAGTAATTCCTATAACAAGGTTAAGCCAATGTTTCACAAATATGTCCACTTGATATATAATACTGCTGTTGTATACACCACTGTATATAAATACTTGTTTGTATGTTAAGATATATTTGAAAAAACAGCAAATGGACCAGAGAGTAAAAACACAGCATGCAAAAAATATATTTTTAACGCATGCACATGGAGGTCCTGTAAAAAAATATATACACACATGGTTCATTCAATACAATATTAAAAAAAAAAAAGAGGAAAATGAACCACAAAAAAAAAAGTTAAAAAAGAGATTATTTAGACAACTCAATCATAATCACAAGTTCATCCTAGAAATATATTCTAAATTTTTTCATACCATCATCAGTTTTTGTCATGTTTAATCTTCAAGATAAAATTCCTTGGCTTGGTGAAGGAGCTCTTGATCTGAGGAATTGGACCTCATGGCTCCTACCTTGGATCAACCTCTTTAAGGGGGGCTCCTTGGCGTGGTGAAGAGGCTCTTGGTCTGAGGAATTAGACCTGTCGGTCTCCTTCCTCAGACCGAACCTAATTACCCCTCAATCCCCCCTTCCCTATCCCATCCTCCCCTTTTTCCTTTCCTCCTCCTCCTCCTCACCCCTCCCTTTTGCCCTTCGTTTTTTGGCCTTTGGGATTTTTCCTACAGGCATGCTAGTTCCTGGGTAGGGGAAAGGGTACCGGGGTCCATCCCATTCCATTGAGGTTCTTGGCGGTGGCGTAGTTTGCCATGGAATCTGGATCGCCTGGGGATGTCCCAATCCCTCTCCGGTCTCCCGGAGGGTGGCTTTGGGTGTCTTTCAGGCAACGGGTGTATCTCTGGAAGCCACCTTTCAGATTCCAGGGGTGGCGGCCGAAGGAGGTATGCTTTGTGGCAGATATCCGGCCGCCCTCTCTTTTGTCCACCGAGGTAGCTCGGCAGATGTGAGGTTGCTATCCCGGATTGCTGGTTTATTGGCATGATGGGTAGGGTATGGCATGGGTTCTATGCTGCATCTGCGCTACTTGCAGTGCTGAGGTCCTCTTGGGCACGGTGGGAGATTTCTGGCCCTTTCATTCCTCCTAGGAACTATCCCTCCCCGGTCCCCCCTTTTTTTATTCTTTTTTTTTATTTTTATTTTCTTTTCTTCTTTCTTTTTTTTTCTTAAAAACAAAAAGAAAGAAGTAACCTAACCATGGAGTACCCGATCCATGACCCCGCTACCCCCGGGCCCCTTATTGTTACCGCACCCCATTCTGACCTCGCCTCGTCTTTTGGCCACTCTTCAGACATTCCTAAGGCCCCTGTACCTCTTGCTGGTGCTGTTTCCTCACCCGCTTCAGGTACCAGGGCTTCCACTGACTCCTTCGATTTGTCTGACCTCCGCTCTCCTTTGACTATGCTTCCGGCTTCTCCCTCTACGGTGCGGCAATTTTCGAATTGCCAGCCCGTCCCACGTCGGACCGACTCTGGTCCCACTTCTAAACGTCAACGACAATCTCCTGATGATGTTAATTCGTTACCTTCCCTTTCTACTCGGAAAAGACCATCACGTCATGCACTCCCTCTCCACACTCAGTTTCAGACCACACAATGGACTAAATTCTTTACATTAAGACCGACTTCTTCTACTGCGTATCTTTTCGATCATAGTACAGTATTGGCAAAGTGCTCCTACACCACGTTGGTAGAGATATTTCCTTTCATGCTTTTAAGAGTGGTATGCGCATCATCACAGTCCAGAATTCTACTCAAGCTCATGATCTTTCTCTTCTTTCACATATCAATACTATTCCTATCACTATCGAAAAACATCATTCCCTCAATTCTTGTAGTGGTACTGTTATTCTGCCTCATACCATAGTCCAACAGAATTTCCAGACATGGCACTGACATTCTCGAACAGCTGGAACTCCAAGATCTCCCAATTCTCAAGGTAGACACTTTTGTTCTTCCTACCTGCGGGTGAAGACGATACCCTTGCAATGTGGCTTGTTCAACTTTTGACAGCCGTGAACTCCCATCCTCTGTTTATGTAGTAGGACATCAGTTACAAGCCCTCTTCAAGGGGGGCTCCTTGGCGTGGTGAAGAGGCTCTTGGTCTGAGGAATTAGACCTGTCGGTCTCCTTCCTCAGACCGAACCTAATTACCCCCAATACCCCCTTCCCTATCCCATCCTCCCCATCCTCCCCTTTTCCCTTTCCTCCTCCTCCTCCCCACCCCTCCCTTTTGCCCTTCCTCTTGTTGGCTTTTGGGATTTTTCCCACAGGCGTGCTAGTTCGTAGGTAGGGGAAAGGGTACCGGGGTCCATCCCATTCCGTTGAGGTTCTTGGCGGTGGCGTAGTTTGCCGTGGAATCTGGATCGCCTTTGGATGTCCCGATCCCTCTCTGGTATCCCGGAGAGTGGCTTTGGGTGTCTTTCGGACGACGGGTGTATCTCTGGAAGCCACCTTTCAGATTCTGGGGATGGTGGCCGAAGGAGGTATGCTTTGTGGCGGATATCCGGCCGCCCTCCCTTTTGTCCACCGAGGTAGCTCGGCAGATGTGAGGTTGCTATCCCGGATTGCTGGTTTACTGGCATGATGGGTAGGGTATGGCACGGGTTCCATGCTGCATCTACGCTACTTGCGGTGCTGAGGTCCTCTTGGGTGCGGAGGGAGATTTCTGGCCCTTTCATTCCTCCTAGGAACTATCCCTCCCCGGTCCCCCCCCTTTTTTTATTCTTTTTTTTTTATTTTTATTTTCTTTTCTTCTTTCTGTTTTTTTTTTTCTTAAAAACAAAAAGAAAGAAGTAACCTAACCATGGAGAACCCAATCCATGAACCTGCTACCCCCGGGCCCCTTCCTGATACCGCACTCCATTCTGACCGCGCCTCATCTTTGGACCACTCTTCGGACACTCCTCATGCCTCTGTACCTCTTGCCGGTGCTGTTTCCTCACCCGCTTCAGGTACTGAGGTCTCGACTGACTCCTTCGATTTGTCTGACCTGCACTCTCCTTTGACTATGCTTCCGGCCTCTCCCTCTACGGTGCGGCAATTTTCGAATCGCTGGCCCGTTCCATGTCAGACCAACTCTGGTCCCACGCCTAAACGCCAATGACAATTACCTGCTGATGATACTTCTCCACCTTCTCGTTCTTCTCAGAAAAGATCGACACATCCTGCACTCCCTTTCCACGCTCAGTTTCAGACTGCACAATGGACTAAATTCTTCACTTTACAACCAACTTCCTCTACCGCGTATCTTTCCGACCACAGTATTGGCAATGCACTCCTACGCCATGTTGGTAAAGATATTTCTTTTCATGCTCTTAAGAGCGGTACACACATCATCACTGTACAGAATGCTACCCAAGCTCATGATCTTTCTCTTCTTTCCCATATAGATACTGTTCCTGTCACTATTGAAAAACATTCCCTCAATTCTTGTAGTGGTACCGTCATTCTGCCCCATACCATAGTTCAACAAAATTTCCAGACATGTGGCAGTGACATTCTTGAACAGCTGAAACTCCAAGATCTCCCAATCCTCAAGGTAGACACTTATGTTCTTCCTGCCCGCGGGCGGAGACGATACCCTAGCAATGTGAATTCGTTACCCTAGCTGTGAACTCCCATCCTCAGTTTATGTAGCAGGACATCGGTTACAAGTTCGAAAGGTGATCCCTACACCGCAACAGTGTAGAAATTGCTGGCGATTTGGCCATCCAGCGAAATATTGCAGATCCATAGCCGAATGCCCAGTCTGTGGTGCAGATGACCATTCTAATACATCTTGCAATCGACCTCCCTCTTGCCTTAATTGTCATGAGGCTCACCCTTCGTACTCTCACCATTGCCAAGTCTACTTAAATGAGCGGGAAATCCGTTACCTCAAAGAGGCAGAAGGTCTCCCTTATGCCATGGCAGTTTCTCATCTCAGCCTCCAAGGGAGACTACCTCGTGTTTCTTATTCCCGTGTTTCAAAACGTCCCCCCACTTCTGGGGTCCAATCTTCTGCAGCCTCCTGTATAGTCCTTGTGGCTTAGCGCTTCTTTTTGATTATAATAATAATAATCTGCAGCCTCCTCTGTGGTTACCTCTCCCATAGTCACTCCTGTATCTAATTCTTTTGCTGTCCTGGGCTCAGACGTCCCTACTTCAACGCCTCAGTCTATTCTCGCTTCTTCGTGTTCTCCCTCACAAGCCTCGGTATCGACGAGATCTCGTACGACACCTCCCAATCGTCCCTCTACTTCTCAGAAGTCAAAAAAAGGTCCTTTAACCCCCTCCTGCCCTTCTTCAACCTCCTCATTTTACCTTCCCTGTCTCTGTACCTGGTTCTTCCCCTCTCACTGGCTCTCTTACAAGTGTAGAGGTTCACCCTCCTCCTCGTACTGTATCTTCCTCCCCTGTTCCCTCCCAAGTTTCTTCCTCTTCTGCCACCTCCCAGGTTTCTGCCTCTTCTGTCCCCTTCCACGCTTCTCCAGTTCCCTCCACCCTTTCGCCTCCCCCCCCACCTTGGTACAGTCCATTACAGTTATAATCTTTACTCATCCTCCCCCTACCATCTCCAATATTGTCTCCCATACGACGTCTCTGAATTCCGAAACACTTGAAACAATCTCTGAATATATTGCAGAGACCAAACCATCAATGGACACTGATCCACCCTCCGCTCCTTCTCTCTGCTCCATCTGCGCAACTCCTTTCTTCACGGCGCACCGTTCCTTCACTGCTTGAACGTTTTCCACTGCCTCCGCATGTGGACTTTTCTAACCCCTCTAGTCCGTAGGAACCCTTACCTGCGGATTTCAGGTATCTTTATCATTGCCAATCATGGCCTATTTACAGTGGAATATACGCGGCCTCAGGGGTAATCGGGGTGAGCTTCAGATGTTACTCTCCCAGTTTTCCCCTGTTGGTGTTTGCTTACAGGAACCAAAATTACACTCTGCTGTTATCTCTCCCATCTCAGGCTATAATTTATTGTATTCTTCAGATCCTTTTCCTGATGGGACCTTTAATGAAAGTGCCCTTCTTCTGCGCACTGATATTTCGTACCATCAGCTATTTGTTCGTACTTCGCTGCATTACACAGCAGCCCGTATCCACTTGCATAGGTGGTATACGCTCTGTTCTTTATATCTCTGTCCTTCTCGGGCATTATCTATTCCGGATATTGCCTTTCTTGTTTCGTCATTACCGCCACCGATTCTGTTACTTGGTGATTTTAATGCCCACCATTTCCTCTGGAGGGGGGGGTCTCACTGTGATTCCCGTGGCATTCAGTTAGAGGCTTTTCTTTCC